TGTACATGTGGGAGACCACTTCGGAGGGCTTTCTCTTTTACAAGAGACGTTTTGTAACATCCAGCAATGTCTTCCTTTCTACATTCCTCCTGTTACAGATAAAGGCCTTTAGCAAAGAAAACATAAGGAATACTTTTCCAATTATGTTACCATATTTGCTCTGAACTGTGGCGCATTCTTTCCTATGATTGATGGGAATGGTAAGAAGGGCTTCTTCCTTTTACTACAAGGAGCCAAGCCCCAGGCTGAGGGCTTCATCTTATCACAAAATCTTATGAGGCCATTATTATTCCTCTTTTGTAGATGTGGAAACTGAAAGAACAAAGTCACAAGCTAGTAAGTACTGTTGCTAAAGTCTACGCTCTGTGACTGACACAGGCAGTGTTCCTCTGACACAGAGCTGCCTGTTAAGTAAATGATGCTTACTAGCTTTGGGGGAGAAAAAAAGGTACTTATTCACATTGGAAAAATTGACACTTAAAAACCAAAATATAAGTTAATATATGACAAAATACCACTCTTTTATGAGCTTAAGTAGTCTGTACCTATCACATAATATATGCTGAAAATGGACAAAAGAGAGGGTAAGATTAAATGTTTCAGTGAAATTTCAGGGTAGGACACTAGACTGGTAGTATAAGCCTCCTGAATACCACTATCACTTTAGGCAGATGAATCTGGTAGTGATATAAAGGATGGATTGAGAGCATGGGGGGTGGGCAGAGCAGAGCCAGTAAGGCCTTTTAGAATATTGCAACAACTCAGGCTATGAGCTAATTACAGTAGTGTAGTAAGTGACTTTGGGGTGGGGTTACTATTCAGCCCACTAAATCTAGTGAGGGATGGCATATGCCTAATTGAAGGTACTGGCCATGCAAATGGAGAGAAAAAGAAGAAGTCCAGAGTGACTCCTTGTTTTCTAGCTTGAGCATCATGTTGGTGCCAACTCTGAGATGAGACATTCCAAGCAGAAGGAGCCTTCTTGGGGTGTTGGTATTACCAAGTTCTTCAAATAATAACTACTATTTTGGACATCTATCCCTTAACATGCTTTTTTAAAACTCACAATAACCCTGGGAAATAGGTTGCAGCTGAGAATTCTGAGGCCAGAGGCGTAAAGGGACTTTCCCAGAATCATTCAGCTTGACAGAGACGAAAGATGAGAGAGGCAGAGTCGATGGAAAATGCAGAAGAGAGCCCACTGGAGTGAAGGGTTTTCATTTTAGTTGGCCAGTGCTTGTACCAGGAAATGTTTCAAAAGTGATAAGATCCATGTAGGATAGTGAAGTTCCTTAAATTACTATTTTGTGGAAACTTTATATATTATCACTAACATAGTTTATAAAGAGAAACTCACAAAGCAAATTAGAGATTTCCTTCCCTCTACACCTTTGTACCTGTGAGTCTCCTATTGAAAAATTGAAGAATCTTGTCCATCAAATAGAAGTTGTAAAAATTAAGCTGTCAAAATTCAGCCATCCCTAAACTTCACATTCATCTACCAAACCAGGTGCTGAAGTGCCCACCCACTTCATCCTTTCACTGAGCTAGCACCCATCCATCGGGTCTCAGCCCCTAGGAAGCTTCTTCTGACACTTGGTAAAGAAAATTTCTCAAGATACAGAAATAAGGCACAAAATAATTATGTAGACCTTTCAATGCCATGCCGGACATGCTCTAATATGCCCACTTGTGGGTCACTCTTTTGGGGAATGTAACCTGGTTTCACTTAACATCACAATTGATTAGGACAATGACATTTTATAATTCTGTGAAGTCAGAAATTTAACTCCTAAAAAAGACCAATAAATTGTGATTATTTTTTCTGTCTATGAGCAAAAACAGTCCCCTGAATAACAATTTTATAACATTATAGGACAATGATTAATTTTGATCCAAGGTAGCAATCTTTACTAACATGCTTTTCCCTAGTTGCTTTTTAATTCCATTTCTTATGTTCTTTTTGAACCAGCTTTTCATTCTGCTAGTTAACTCCTTGACAGTAAGGTAAATAAAACTTAAACAAACACTCATTACCTTTTTCTATGAGAATTATGCCAACAGTTTGGAAATGACTAGGTAAGAATTGACTCCCCAACCCTACGTCGACCACTGGTATAGGAAGCACTACAGTAATGGCTTGTTCACCCGCCTCTGCCAGACTTTGAAGGGGTCAGTGAACATTTTTGTCTTATGTCCCACCACTTTCTCCAGAACACACCAAACAGTAGTCCCAGAGGATGAACTCAACAAAAATTCCTGAGTTTCTTCCCCAAATGCTTCAGAGCCCTTTCCCCGACTCTTCTCCTTTGTCCGTCATGATCCCAAACTCCTACATCTTTTTAAACTTCATAATGGCTCCCTTCACAACTGGCAGTCTCCTTGAAAAGTATCAACCTGTCTAATTAAACGATAGGTTTTTCTCTCAATGGCAGACACACAACAGGGTTTAGGCCTGACAACAAGTCAGGACTCACATCATCTGCCTGGACATCAGTAACCTTCCAAAATAAATTTTAATAAAAATCAGTATCACTGTTACAGGGTGCAGCCAAGAGGGGGGACCCCAAATGGGCATTTGAAATGGGGTCCAGAACTTAAGGTGCCCAGGAGATTTTAAGATGTCTCCACCCACCCCCCCACCCCCAGCCCAGTGTGGGTTGGGGGAAGGGACAAATGGAGCAGGGCCATTGAGAGCTGTTTTGCATAGCAACAGCCTTGCAGCTACCCTCTGATGTGGTCATTTAACATATCTATAACCTTTGGCTGGTTGCATGGATATGTTAAATAGCTGTGATCATCTCTGAGCCAGGGGAACGGAAGTAACTTCCCCACCAAGACGTAACTGGGGGCAGATCCCCCAAGCTACAGCGCCTGCGTGGGAGCTCGGAGAAGATTGGCTCCAGGACATGGGGCCACACCTGCCCAGACCCAGGTTGGCGACCAGAAAAGCTGGAGAAGACAGCAGATTGAGGGCAAGTGTGCCTGAGTGTGGGAGGAGTCAGAAATGAGGCTGCAGAGGAAGATTGGCTGCGGGGATTTAAAACCCAGACTTGGCGGCCATTAGGAGAAAGAACCATGCGGCTTTAGCAAAATGGGGAGGACCTCAGCCATTGAGGAGAACCATGCTGCTTTGAGAAGGAGAGCCATGCGCAGCCCTGAGAGGGAGAGAACCATGTGGATGTGGAGGTGCAGAGAGGATCACGGCCAGTGGAGAGAGAGCCACACAGCTTTAGCAGAGTGAAGACTCCCGCATCCCTGAGGGAGAGAACCACGCGGCTTTGGACAGAGTGGGGACTCTCCCTTCCCGCAGCCCTGAGGAGGGAGAACCGTGCTGCTTTAGGAGAGAGAACCACGCGGCCTTGACAGAGTGGAGACTCCCGCAGCCCTGAGAGGGAGAACCACGCGGCTTTGGACAGAGTGGGGACTCTCCCTTCCCGCAGCCCTGAGGAGGGAGAACCGTGCTGCTTTAGGAGAGAGAACCACACGGCCTTGACAGAGTGGAGACTCCCGCAGCTTTAGAAGGGGGAACCACCACCTGGTTTTAGCAGAGATCCTGGCAACTCAGCCGAGGGTGCCGGGAACCCAGGGAGGTCTCCCAGTCGAGATGGAGTATTAACTGGGAAGAACCAGAGGACTGCCTGAGCCATGGACTTCTATTTCCTTTCCTGAGATATGGTACTCTGGACTGGGCAAAGGGGGAAGGAAGGAAGGACTGTGTCTGTTTGTGGGTGTTTTTGGGGACTTTGGGATTTTTGATGAAGACATTAGGTCACTACTTGAAGTCTGTATAGCATTAAATAAACATTTCCTTTCCTTTTCACGAATCTCTGGCATTGAGAGACGTCTTTCCTAGGGTGGCGGACATAACGGACCCGGGACCTTCTTTCAATAATAGTATATTGTCCCAGGCCCCCCTTGTTGTGTTCTGTAACATCACTGCTTTCAAAAAAAAAAGAGAGTTTTTATAAAGGATAGAAATTGGTTACACAACTAGCATATTATAAGGAGAGTGCCATTAAACAAATTCTAAAATGGACAATATGTAAAAAGACCTGAAATACATAATCTTCTCAAGCAGAAGATGCTTTACCTGTACCTTTAAATCAATTAGTGTTCAATTGTTATCAGATCATGTAATGAGACAGTATTCTGATCCAGCTCTTTGTTGAGAAATTATACTACTGGTATTAAATATCCAGCAATAATGAATGCCTTGGTAGGTACCAAAGATAACTCTGCCAGTTACTAATTTTTTGACTAAGCTTTAAAGTCATCTTGGGCATACTCCATAAAAATAGATCTAGGCCCCTTAAAGATTTTTCTTTTTGTAGCTGACGAGATGTTAGGCTTTCTCAGTAGAGGGCAGCAGAGGGACACTGCAGGAGAAAAGATTCTTGTTCTTGCTTCACTGTGTTCAATTGACAAGCTACTCAAGATCCAGCTCCCCGATACCCAGCTCTCTCAGCAGAGGCAGCTTCTCCACCATCAGGCCCGCAAATCATGGGCAGCTTCTCCAGTGTGCAGGACCTGACACATGGGGACTCCCCAGCACTTGGTGCCTGTGGTGCACAGTGGCTCGTATCACCGTCCCCAGCCACTTCCTCCCCTCGGCAACCTCTTCAACCGTTCTGTAAAGGAGTGCCCTTGTGAGACTGATACTCCTGTGAAGACTCTTCTAGCACCCTAGAGGATGGATTTCCAGCAAGATCCCCTTGGGCAAGCCGTCCAGCAAGATCTGGCTTTCAGTTCTAGGGGCAGAGGGGGCTGGAGAGTTCTTTCTTGGGTGCTCTATCTAAATTGCTCCTTATATCTTTTTTCTTGTATTTTTTAGAGTTTTCTTTTTTCTTGATAGTCAATCCCTCATTATTCCAATCCCCTGTTATAGTTAACAATTCTTTATATTACGCTTTCCCTACTCAAATTACTGTGTCTTCTCCCTCCTGATTGGACCCAGGCTGAGACAAAGTCCTTGAAGCAAAACAAGAATGAAACCTCCCTTTTAACTTGAAGATACTTTATTAGGTTGCTTGATATAAACAGCTGTTTCCCACGATAAGTGTTTATCCATACAGAAATGAAATGTCATATTTAAAGAAATAGAAATTAGTTGCATGTTTTGGATTTAGACAGCTAAGAAAAAAATGAAAGCATACAGAGGTTCTCCTTAATCTTTTCTACTGATATAAACAATTCCAATCATCATAAACAATAAACAATTCCAATCATGATTGGAATTCTTTGTCTACTTGTAACTACTCAAGACATATACATCTCATTATTCTAGGAGGGCCTCTGCAGTGCCCCCAGCTACTTAAAATTGGCTTCACCCAAAGTTAAATTCAGGGTAGTCCTAGACAACGTAATGACTTACAAGCCCTGGCTTCCCTTCTTCACTAAAGAATTTTCATATCCTGTCATCTTTAAGGTAACACTTCTCAATTGTTTTAATAGAATTGTAGAAGACCAGCTCTATTAAAGGGAGATGCACAGTGCAGTAATTGAGAGTACAGGCAAGTTACATTACATCAGTGCACTTCAGTTTCCTCCTCTGTGAGAAGGGCAGGAAAATAGCACCTGCCTCACAGGACTGCTGTCAGAACTGAATGAATAAAGATATGAAAAACTCTTAAAATTATGCCTGGCAAATAGCATTCATTATTCTTTTTGTTTTAATAAATGTTTCCTTTTACTTATTTTCTTAATTTTTTTTTATTTATTGATTTTAGAGAGAAAAATGAAGGAGAGATGGAGACAGAAACATTAATTTGTTGTCCCACTTATTCATGCACTCATTGGTTGATTGTGCGTGCCTTAACCCGGGATCAAACCCGCAACCTTTGCATATGGGATGACACTTTTACCAACCAAGCTACCCAGCCAGGGCAATTTTTCTGTTAGTTCCATATGTGAAAACTGTGACATTTTAAAATTTTTTCAATTACAGTTTACTTTCAATATTATTTTGTGTTAGTTTTAAGTGTACAGCATAGTGGTTGGACAATCATACACTTTACAAAATGTTCCCCCAGATATTTCCAGTACGTATGTCATTATCCTCATCATCCATGATCTTACTCCTCAAATGTTGCTTTAACAACACAGTTACAAAATGAAAAGGGCAACAAAAAAAAAAAGGCACTACCCTGTCTTCATAATTACAAGAGGAGAACGAACATTTTATGTAAGCACTTAGTTAGGCTAAATAAAAATGTCCCATCTGTCCAGTAACCTTGTACCAATGGGATTTAGTGAAGTAATGATTTAACCTATATTAGAAATACTTCCCAAGTAGCTTCTCAAGTGACTTTTGGCAGCATTCTTATTCTATTTAGCATAAATGCAAACTTTGTAAATGCAAAAAAACTGTCAATGGCATCATCATCATCATCTAAACTTCTCACATATTAGAATTAAGGCTACTTCTTTTTCTAAGAATTTGAGGTTGCAGAGAAAGTGAAATTTCTTCAAAGTTTAGTGAGGGTTTTTTTTTTCAAAGTTTTATACCTTAAATATTATCTTTGTAGTCACATAGACTGGGTTTAACCCCAGCCTCGTTCCTTGTCAGCTAGATAACCTCAGACGAGTGTTTTAGCTGCTCCAAATCCCCGGTTCCTTCCCCTATCATTTAAGGATAGCAATGCCTACAACGAAGTAGGACACAAAGATTAAATGAGATAAAGTGCGTAAAGCTAGCATGTCATCCCTGCTCAATAAGGAAAGCAACAGTCATTATCATCCCTATTGCTGAGATTCTATTACCTAACTGTGTGCCTTATTAATTTCATGGCCTCTTTTTTAAATGCATAAATGACAGAAGAAGGTCCTATAATGTCAACGTGTGTCTCATAAAACTTAATCAGAACATCAAGGTACTTTGAACTTAGTTGTTTACACGCCCACTTAATACTTACTTTCTCTCTATTCTCCATTCCTTCCAAAACAAATGTCTCTTTTCTAAGCTCGAAGTGAAGAGCATGTGAATATTTCTCAATGAACTCTTTCACAAGTTTTTCATGGTTTGGCCGAGAACCAGCTAGAGCATTTCTTATGCAAATTGTGGTAATTTCACCATCTACTCTCTCTTGACATAGAACATGATATTTTTTCAATGTGCTTTTATAAAAATTGCCCCTTTTCAGGTAATGAAAAACATCTGTGTCGAGGACAACTATTTCTCCCCTTCTAAGAGCCTCGGGCACTGAGCACCTGGGTGTCTCCAGAGAGTTGCCACTTCTCTGTGGGCTCCTTCTGGGGCTCTGTTTATTCCTCTTTTCCTGCTCACTGATAAAACCCCTGCTTTTTTCTAAAAGAGAATTTGCTTTTAATAGCAAAGATTCTTTGAGCTTCTTCATAGCCAGAAATGATCCTTGAACGGAGATTCTTCCATTGTCTTCCAAAGAACTGAAGCACAGAGTTGGATGTTTCTTTTTTAGGTCTCTTACCAGACATTCCAGAAAGACTTGACTCTGAAAAATGGAGAGATCAAGTACAGCATTGACCGAGCTAAAGACCTAAAATTAAAGAGACAGGAATTAAAACAGCACTGTTTCATGGAGCAGACCACATAAACACATTCTTCTTCTGCCACTCTCTGTGCAACAGTCCATCAGAAGGGATCCCACAGCCCCACGGAGCCCACAATGTCAATGTGGGATTCATAGTCCCTCGCTGCATTCCCCAAAGCAGAGGTGGTCAAGAATTTTTTAGAGGCAGAACGTTTTTCTGAAACAAAGTCTTAAGCAGAATCCACAGATACACACTGTTCTGTCTCTGCTCTGAGGATAGGGGTCCCCATACAGAACCCTCCAAGTGTGAAGATGGCTGCACAGAACCCTGGGTTTCTTACCAAATAAAGTTTCAAACCAATGCTTTGAATTTTAACTTTTTCCTCTGATTTCTGCCTTTCCTGAATCTTCAAAGCTTCTTTTTAATGTTCATGCTAATCAGGTTTTTGTTTTTTCCCAAAATAAGTTTTTAGGTACATACCTGACGTCATCCCTGAGAGCATAAAAACTCACTATCACTGTGAAAGTATCAACTGGGACATACGGAAACATAAACACAGACCAGGCAGTAACCAAAAAAATGTTAAGATACAGGTTTGGCCTTCAACACTGACTCAGGTTAGGGAGTTGGCACTTTCTATCCTAGAAGTCATGGGGTAATAGTGCTACACGTCTCCTGTGTAGGGAACACTTTGCAGAAGAAAAGGGATCGAGGACCACCAGCGGGCCTGCCGCATCACACCTTACCTTTTCACTCAAATGAGAGACTATGAGTTGAATGTGTCCAGCCTTCTCTGCTAGACAGTGTTTCTCTTTTCTGATGACATTCTCTGCAACTAAGTGGAAACAATGCCATCAGAAGCATTATGGCTTGACACACTAATAATTATTTTCATTAATAATAATAGAGATGTTCAACTCTATTATTTAGAATGCCTAAGTTTTTTCAACATTTTTCCCCTAAAGTCAACTTTTAAATAGCTTTCCCTTCTACTTCAATATATTAAAATTAATTTATGTATAAATATGATCCTAGTCATACTTTTAAAAACACATATATGTATATATAAATAGAAAACAAACACCTAAAAGTTAATCAATCAGTTAACATAATCAGTCTCTGTTAATTATGGCCCTGAAGAGACTTCACCTTCTTAAGTCCAGGACACCACACTGCCCTGGTCTTCCTCTAATTCGCTGGCTGACCTGCTCAGTCTGCTTTGCTAGTTCTCCTTCTCTTCCCATTCTCTAGATGTCGGCATGCCTACGCCTCAGGTCTCGTACCTCTTTGCTAACCAACACCCACCCCCTGGGTGATCCATGGCTTTAGATGCTATTCCTACGTGCATCACTTTCAAGATTCTATCTCAGCCTGGACTCTTCTCCCTTCTGCCTGTGGGAATCTCTATTTCATTATTCTAATAGACATCTCAATGACCAAAATTCAACTCTAGATAACCATCCTTTGTCTAAAAGTACTCTTCCTCCTGTGCTCCACACCTCAGAAAATGACACCTATTCATCAGCAAATCCTGAATACCCACTAGTTCTTAATCACCTGACCCGCTACCACACTCGCCAAAACCAGCCATTGACAGTAGCTTCCCTTCTCCACACAGCAGACAGAGCGACCACCCAAGAAAAGGCAGTGACATTTTGTCTGTCCTCTGCTCAAAATGCTCCAATGGCTTTCCCTCTCACCCAGGATAAACAGAATCCAGACACCTTGCCTGGGCCTATAAGCCACTTAACATGAACTGATCCCCCACTACCCCACTACTCTAACCACATCTCTTATTACTCTCCCCCTCACTCATTCCACTCCAGACACACAGGCCTCCTTGCTGTTCTTCAAGATGGCCAGCATGCTACCCCTCCTGAGAATTTTCCCCAGTCCTTCCCTTGCCCACGAATGCCCTACCTTCCCTTTTATCTTCATGAGTCATTCTCTTACTTCATTTAGGTCTCTGCTCTAATGCCACGTAAACAGAGTTGTTTTTCTACTCACACTATCTAAAGTGACACACTTTATTCTCTTCCTTTATTCTGCTTTATATTTTTTCATAGCACTCATGTTATATACTATTGTATGTAAATAAAAATAAACAAATGGCAACATTTCATCTTTTACATGACTAGTAGTATTCTATTGTATATACATACTACATTTTTTTAATCCAATCATCTGTCAAAGAACACTTGGGTTGTTTCCCTGTCTTGGGTACTGTGAAAATGCTGCAGTGAACACAGGAGCACATATATCTTTACAAATAAGTGTTTTCAAATTTGGGGGGTAGATACCCAGAAGAAAGATGGCTGAGTCATAGGTAACTTTATTTTTAATTTTTTGAGCAACCTCCATATCATTTCCCACAGTGGCTGCACCAATTTATATTCCTACCAGCAGTGCACAAGAGTTCCCTTTTTCTCCACATCCTCTCCAACACTTGTTATTTCTTGTCTTTTTGACAATAGCCACTTGACAGGTATGAAGTGGTCTCACTGTGGTGTGTTCTGCATTTCCCTGATAGCTAGTGACATTGCACAACATGGACGGACCTTGAGAGTATCATGCCAAGTGAAATAAGTCAGATGGAAAAGGACAAGAACCATATGATTTCATTCATATGTGGGATATAAAAGAAAAAGCAATAAACAAATGACACAAACAAACAAAAACTTATAGATACAGATGACAGAATGGATGTTACCAGAGGGGAAAGGTGGTAGGGAGAGGATGAAGAGGGTAAAGGGGGTCAAATGCAAGGTGACAGAGGAGACTAGACTTTGGGTGGTGAGTACACAGTAGAGTGTGCAGGTGTTGTATTGTAAAGTTGTACACCAGAAATTTACATAATGTTATTAACCAATGTTACCTAAATAATTTTTTAAAAGTGTATTGTTGCTCATAAAAATAAGTAAATATAAACATAAAATAAGTATATAAAATACAAATAAATAAATCACCCAAGGTATTACATAAATGCTTTGTTTATTATCTGCCCATCCCCACAGACATATGCTTCATGAAAGACACCATTTTGCCAATTTCATTCATTGCTATATCCTCAAGACCTGGAATGGTACCTGTCAAATAATGGGTACTCAATAAACATGTGTGAATGAATAAATAAATAAACCTCTCTTTCTCTTTCTGGGTTACAAATTCAACATATAAAATATTAACTTCCAAAGCACTACAATCCCCTTATAATAAGGAATAATGATAAGTCCTTTCCACTGTCCCTCATGAGGATAGCTTAATTGATGGCCACAGATAAGGACACTGATAATCAATAGTCTGTTGGCTCTCTCTCTGGACCCTGTCTTCCTTCGAGCAGAGCAAGGTCTCTCTTCCTCCTATGCAATATGGAACTTTCACCTCCAAGAGGCTGGTATGGAGACTCATCTTCCTCTGGCAATTTATTCTGTCAGTCACTGAGCTATAAGGAAGGCTGCCTCCCTCCGTGAAGCAGGAGGAGTGAATATGATCTGCAGACCCAACTTCCTCACCTGTGTCAGAGATGGGAGTGGGAAACATACTGGTGCAACCTGATCTCAGATCCAAGCCATATTTCTCCAGTCTGGCTTTACCAATAATTAAATCCTGGCTTGAACAAAAGAAGGTAATGGTACAATCACATTGCTGCAGCCACCTCAAAATTCCCAGAGTAGTTATCTCGTTAGTGAGATTAAAGATCATTTTTGTGGGTTTTAGTTTATTTTCCATAATTTAGAAATTTGCTACAATGAAATGTATGATTTTTATCATAATATATAGACAATTCAAAATTTAAAAAGAAGTCTTCAAGACTTTGCCAGTTGCTAGCTACTTTATCATGAGCCATTTTCATGTATATTCTAGTTAGTGCAACATTATGCCACTTTAAATTCAAAATAGAATAAGTTTTTTAAAAGCCACTTTAAACTTTACCAATCCCATGATTCATTTTAATGATATTCAATTTTCAATTTCATTATGGAAGTGTTTTTAATATTATAAAAAATTTGATTCAGAAATACCTTTTTTTTCTTTGAATGTTACATATGCAACTCCCTTGGTTCTTGTTGGGTATACCACATCTTCAACAACTCCGCCCTCATTAATATCTTGGAAGTGAATCTTCACTAATGCGGTCAGCAATAGATCATCAAAATGGCCAGCTGGAAGACCAGCAACTACAACCGTTCTCTCTGCTTTGGATTCCTTGACATTCAAAACCGACGCCTATAAGAGAAATAGTGAGATGTTCTTTAAAATATGTAAGATTCTATTTAATATGGGCAACATCACATACCAGTGGGAGAGGCTATTTTATTCAATAAAGGTACCAGTGCAGGTGATTAGATACTTTTAGATAGATTGATAGATAGATAGAAAAGATAGATCCTTGCATCCTCATACCATATACCAATATGAACTCTATGAATTTGAGAGGTAAATGTAAAAAGCAAACCCTTTTTTTCTGCATGGAAAACATTGGTTGATGTTTGTCTGATTTTATAAAGGCCTAAAAATAATGGAAATCACAAAGAAAAAGATAAAGAAATACACATTTGAATTAAAATTCAAATTTTTTAAAAAGCCAAGCTAACCACAAAATATGGTAGTTTGAAGATGACTGTACATGTTCTTGATTATGTAGTCCAAAGTTGATAAGACAATTAGAAATACATCCTCTACTTTTTTTTGGTCAGAATCAGGGAAAGTCACCATAAAAAAAAATAATAAAACCCCGGCAATAATCCTAGGGCTGCAGTGGAGTAAATCCCTCCTTCAAGCATGTATCTGAGATGGAATTGAACCACCAGGAATATATCCTATCGCAGACCCTGCCGCCACGCTGGACACAAAATACCACCTACAGGTAGGCCTTTCCCTGGGCTCACTCTCTTTGAACTTCTCGTATTGTCCAGTTAAGGGGCTTACATCTAAATGTCTTAATTTGTCCCCCATTCTATTTAGGGCAGTGGACACATAAGCTTCCCTCAATGCTTATAGGTAGTGTAGCCTGATGGCTCAGATATAATCTATCCCAACCTACCCCCAGGAAGGACAGGATGTCTTATGGGCCCACGTAAGAGTGAACAGATGACAAAGATCATTAGGGCTCTCGGGTGAAAGAACTCTATATTCAGAGTAGGACTTTATTGGGGATAGTCAAACTACTTCTGACCTCCCAGGTGAAGAAGACAGCCAAAGTACACAGTGTCCTGTCCATCCCAAGAGCACCTTAAAACTAAAGTAAAAAATAAATGAATACATAAGTACCGTTAAAGGGAATAATAAGCACAGGAGGGATTTCAACAAATTTCTGCAAGACTGAAAATACATTGAAGTATGTGCAAGGACACGACAGAGGGAAGGAGCTAATCCCGAGTAAGAAAGAGGGGTTGCAGTGGAAAGGTGCCAAACTTCAGGCATAACCTCAGAGATGAAAAAGAGACAAAAACGGACAGATTAGTTGAAAGGTTGTGGCAAAGCATGTGCTCCAGTTGTCTCCCCACATTCCCTACCCCGGATGTATACACACACACACTACAACGCAGGCAGCTGCACGACAACCTTGGGAAAGAAAACTTGAGGATTATTATGCTTTAAGAAAAAAAAAATGAGTGAACACACGAGGGAGAATCTGAGCTGCTGGGAAGAAAGGGTGTTAGAACCACAGACCAAGTCCTCCGGCTTTCTGACATTGGAAGGGGCCTCAGCCTAAAGACCACAAGCAAACTAAAGTGTGCCATGATTTGGAGTAAATTATGGAAGAGCAAAAAAGAAAAAAAGAAAAACAGAGAGAGAGAGAATCCATCTGACACAGCTACTAGGGGCATTTTCCTGTAAGCGGTAAAGGAGAAACACACATGATGTTGGACCAAAAGGAGAAAAGGAACACAGAATGCTGTATCGCCCTGATGGGCACAGTATTTACTGTTTGCATAATAAAACACTCATTGGTTTTTAACTTTTAGACTAATTCTGTTAAGTCTTCAAAATGCCAAAGACTTAAATATGATTACAGAATAAAATAGAAACATGAACAAAGAGTAGAACAAAGGCAGACGAACAGAAGTCGAGGAAAAAGATAGAAGGAAGAATAAATAGTCTACCCTAACATTACAGAATCATGTAATACTACATAAATCTTAAGTGTATTATGGAATATACAAAAATAATCCAGAGTAGAATTTCTTTAAGATTTTATTTATTTATTTTTTAGAAGGAGGGGAAAGAAGGGAGAAAGAGAAAGAGAGACATCAATGTGTGTTTGCCTATTGTATGTACCCTACTGGGGACCTGGCCAGCAACCCAGGCATGTGCCCTGACTAGGAATCAAACACGTGACCTTTTGGTTTTCAGTCCAGCATCCAATCCACTGAGCCACACCAGCCAGGGCAGAGCAGAATTTAAAATAATATTAAAACTTTTAAACATGGAAGGTGGGAAAAGTCAGAGATTACTTGAGTGAAATTTTCACTTATCATAGTAGTAATTCAAAAGTAAATGACTAAAGTCATTGATGACTGTCCCCTGGATGCACTCTCTCAGCACCTCTTTGGAGTTTCAGCTAGTAGCTGTTAAAAGAAGGTGGCAACAATGTATCTGTTAGTGAGTATGCAACTGAATTTCTTAGAACATATAGTATCTTCTCAATCAATTAATTAACAAATAATTAAGCATGTGTTCTATGTTTGGCAATATGCTGGATAACATTACACTTACAAAGAAATAAAGCATACCCTTTGCCCTGAAATTTAATTCCACCGTAAAAATTTACTGAGCATGTATTATGTCTAGGGCACTTGGATAGGCCTTAGGATTACCAATATTAAAAAAATTAGATAAATAAATAAAAAGACCTCTACCTCATGGATGAGAGACAGACACTTGCATAAATTATTTCAACAGGGCTTGGTGGGAACAAAAATAAATCTATTTCACTCCAAGAGGAAACACCAATGTCCAACAATTTGAGGATGCAAAATCACTCACAATAAAGATGCTAAAATACACAATAAATGACAGACAAGATTAGGAAGCAAGATTAACTCTGGTTTATGCAGTCAAAGAAGCTTCCTGAAAGAGAGGCCACCTTAGCTGCAGGTTTGATCCCATCAGGGCACTTGTGGGAGGAAAACAATTGATGTTTCTCTTTCACATCGATGTTTTTCTCTCTCTCACTCCCTTCTTCTCTCTTTAAAAAAGTCAATTTAAAAGAATATATATAGCCCTGGCTGGTGTGGCTCAGTTAACTAAGCTCTGGCCTGTGAACTGAAAGCTGGGGTTAGATTCTGGTCAGGGGCGGGGGTTGTGGGCCAGGTCCCCAGCTGGGGGCGCTCGGGAGACAACTGATGGACTTTCCTCTCTTTCCCTCCCTCCCCTTCTCTCTAAAAATAAATAAATAAATATTTTTTAAAAAAAAAATATATCCTAGGGTAAGTATTAAAAAAAGAGAGGCCTGAAAACTGAGGTTGAATTTTAATTAGTGATCAAATTTGATTTTTAAAAAATTTGGTAGCTCAGTTGGTTTGAGCATCTTCTGCACAGCAAGGGTTGTGGGTTGGTCAGGGTACATACAATACCCAAAGAATGTATAAATAAGTGGAACAACAAATCCATGTCTGTCTGTCTGTCTCTCTCCCTCTGTCTCTCAAATCAGTAAATCAATAAAAACAAATTTTTTAAACGCAAAGGAAGAGTTCACATCAAAAGCAAAACGATGTAAAGAAAAACTGTGAGTTAATTTTTGAAAGTAAAGCATTGGGGGAAAATAATTGTATCCGTTCACTGCTTTTGTTTATACTTCTTTAATTAAAATCAGTTGTTCATTTTCACTGACGTTGCCTTTACCACCACCCATTAAACAAAATCGCACTTGCATCTCACACTACTTTGGCATTTCGGAGACCCTGGCATTTATAACCAGTAACGAAGGGCCCTGCCACTGCTTTCAAGCGCTTGATGGAGAAGGCAAAGGGAAGGCCAACTCTTGAATTTGCTAACAGCTCTTGATAGCTAGCTCATCGGGTGAAAACACAGAGCCCTTGTTTAGAGAAAGAACTAATGCCACAAGAGAAAATCCCCACATTCCCTCTAATGGAGACGAGGCATCAATCTGGATGCCTGCCCAACTTGCGTCCTTGGCTTGAATACTTCTTCCTGGTCCTTTTCAAAAGGAAACTGTGGCCTCCATTTCTGGTTAACTCCTTCCACTCTGGTTCACCAAAGCAAGGGGAGTTATGGGGAACAACAGCTAAGCCCTAACACTGCCTGCGAAGCGACTCCTTGACGAAACAGCTGTGTCCCTGGCGACGGGGCAAAGAGTGCGGGAGACGGCCCCAGCGTTCAGTCCCTTTGGAGTCGAGCTGCGCGCGGGCCGGGGCAGAAAGGCAGGGAGACGTTTGCTGGAGGGTTTGCCTCCGGGGCAGACGGCTCTGCCCCTGCCACGGCCCCTCCGCGCGCAGCCCAGGTCAGCCCCGCACCCTCGCCAGCCCCCACCAGGCCCACGTCTTTCCAGGGGTCCATAATGACAGCGGGAGGACCCTGCCCTGCAAAATCAAAAGTAACTTGCCATGGCGGAGGAGAGACGCGCCCTCGGAGGTTGGCGACACCGGAATCTAGCGGGGCTCGCACGGAGGGGCGGGACTAGCAGGCAGGTTTTGGTTTCGGTTTTTTTATTTTGTTTTGTTTTTTCCCCACTCACTTGGAGACAATGCAAGATATTCGCTGTCCCTCCCTCCTCCCGCTCTGCTGGTGTGAGACCTCACAGCCTCGGAGTGGGAGCTCGAACCAGGACCCGCTGCTGCCACCGCCTGCTTGGAGGCCCTTGGTAGTTTCCCAACAGTTGAAACCCAGGTGTGCAGGGCAAGAGTGAAGGCAAGATTCCCAGGGGGGAATTCGAGGATTCTCCAGGGTCTGTCCTCTGCTCACTGGAATCTGATCCTCCTTCCTACGCTCTCACTGTGACCTGTGTCTCCTCTTCCTCACCTGCCCAGCCCAGGGCCAGTCAGACACAGCCAGGTGTGCAGGGCATAGGATGACAGGCTCATGGTCCCTGTCAACAGGGAGCTCATCATCTTTACCACGCCAAGCTCAGACTCCTGAGTCTGGCACCTGGGAGGACCCAGGAAATCCACACACGGCCTCAAAGACAAAGAAAGCATGAAGAAAAAGGTAAATGGTTGGCAAATAGAAAGAAGCTCAATTTCACTCCTAAGTAAAGAAATACAAATTGAAATCTTGAGATCCCTTTTTTTACTGTTGGATTGGCAAAAATTAAAGTGTGCTAATACCCAGTGTCTGCCAAAGGGTGAGGCAGCAACAATGGCTCTGCCAGCTAGACAAGTGCAAACATTTCTAGGATTTTGACCCCTTTCGAAATGTAAAATGAAAAAAAAAAGTGTAAAAATGCGCATATTCTTAGATTAGCAATTCCACTGTCGGTATTGCGCTGAAGTCATCCTGCACACATGGAATAAGATACTGTACAGACATTTTACTTGTGCATTGCTTGTGATACACATAATATTTGTTTTTAAATCTGGGATCTTGCTTCTCTGTCCCCATGATAGCCATTAGTACTGCTCACCATTATTCCTTGTTCTTCTCCATTCAAGCACATTGCAGGAACACCCTTCCTCACTCACTGTTCGAGGTTAGGCATGGTCGTATGATTCAGGCAGCCAATGAAATATGAAAACTGACTGGTCTCATATATTTGGGTGGAAGCATTTCACTGCCAGCACAAGAGTCCCAAAGGCTCTCTTCTTTGTCTTGGTGCTCATGTGTTGAAGAGAAGGTGCATCACTGAGCCAACATACAGAATACAGCTGCACTAGGGAGCTACCTGGACCCATAACAAAATTTACGTGAATGAAAAATAAAACCAAAGTTTTAATCCACTGATTTTTTTTTCCCAACAATATTATCTAGCATACTCTGACCAACAACTGGGTTGGCCAAAAAGTTTGTTTGTTTTTTTTCCCATAAGATGGCTCCAATACTGCTTAATCAGCTTTAACTTCACTCAAAACAATTTTGTTAGATTGTGTTGTTACAGCTGTCATGTCAGCGCGCATTTTAAAAAAATCAAAACTGGTGAATTTTTGTGTAGCCGTTTTTAAATTGAAGATGGAAGAAAATAAGCAACATTTGTGGCATATTATGCTTTGTTATTTCAAGAACCGTAAAAGCACAACTGAAACACACACAAAAAAAGATTTGTGCAGTGTACGGAGAAGGTGCTGTGACTGATCAAACAAGTCAAAAGTGCTTTGAGAAGTTTCATGCTGTAGATTTCCCTCTGTTGAGAGCCCTCAAATTGAGACATTGAGAATAATCAATGTTATACCACACAGGAGATAGCCAACCTACTCAAAATATCCAAATCAATAAAGTTATTGGAGAAAATGAAATATGTGTCTTTTATTTTACAGAAAAAACCATATGGACTTTTGGTCAACACTAGCATCACACTACAATGAAAGAACACCATAAAAATATTTGCACATAACATATCTGATAAGGTATTTGTATCCAGAATGTGCAAATGACTCTTACAATTCAAAAATAAGACAATACAATTTTAAAATGGACAAAAATTGAATAGACATTTAATCAAAGAAGATACATTAATGGATAACATACTCATGACAACATTCTCAATATCATTAGTAATTAAAGAAATGTAAATTAAAGCCACTCCACATTAAAATAACTGTAATAAAAAGATAACAAAAGTTGTCAAGAATATGGAGAAATGAGAACTCTCATATGTGGTGCAAAAGTAAAATGTTACAGTCACCTTTTAAACATTTCAGCAGTTTCTTAAAAGATTAAGGATAAATTGACTATATGACCAAGAAATTCACTCTTAGATACCTAACCAAGAGAAATGAAAACACATCCCAACAAGGACTTACATGCAAACACTCATAACATTATATTATACATAATAGGCAAGAAGTGGAAATAACCCAAATGGCCATCAATTGCTTAAAGGATAAACCTAATGCAGTATATGTACATGGTATATACAATGTAACACTATTAAGCAATAAAAAGAAGTGAAATAGTGATAGATGCTACAACAAGGATGAAGTTCAAAACATCATGTTACATGAAAGACTCAAAGGCCATATATTGTACAATGCCACTTAACCAGAAAAGTCAAGTATATGAAGAAAGAAAGAAGAAAAGTGGTGGCTTGGGCTGCAGGTGGGAACAAAGATGAACTCTAAGTGAACACGACGAGCACCATTGTCCAGGTGGGATCCTTCCTAGGGAATAATGAGAGGGCTAGTATTAGTAGGGAATGCAGGTCGACACATCTGTGCCCTTGAACCATATACAGAGCAACCCTTCACCTTGTCTGTGCCAGCTCTTCCAACTTGCATATGCCGACAGGGACATGCTACCTTGAAATGTGATAACTTGGCATATTGAGTATTTAAAACAAAAGGAATATGAGAAATGGCATGTGCAAGAAGAACTGTCTGTACTTTCCTGAAACAAGTCATAAAACCCTCCTGTGAGAGGTGCCCTCCCTTTTCCCAGAGGGAAGGAGGATCTTTATTTCCAACGACCAAGGGACACAGAGAGCAACCTGAACGAACAGGCCTGGCTAAGTTTCGCCTAGTTCACTACACTTTGATACCCTGTCCTACCAGTTTTCACTTCCTATGACTACACTCTTCACCATCCCTGGCATAAAACCACTCAGGTTTAACCACTTATTTGGGTTTTCATTTCATTAGGAAGGCTCTGATGTCATATAAAATTTATCTTAAATAAGTTTGTATGCTTTTCTCTTGTTAATCTCTTTTTGTCAGTTTAATTTCCAGATCCAGCCACGGACTCTAGAGCAGTTGAGGAAAACTTCTTCCTCCCCTAGAGTGCCCAACTATCCTTGAGAGAGCATGACTCCAAATGTAGCCAGAATAATTCTAGCAGCTTATCACTGAAACTGCATTTAAAAGAAAAAACATTTTAATCCCTGACAGCCCCAGCCATAAGGCCTCCTATCTCACTGTAGTTGTCTCTGTCTCACAGCTTAAGTAAAATCAAATTGGTTAACATTTCCCTGAATGTTTTACACTTGTGATACCAAAAACCAAAACCCATTACCTGTATCTTGATGATAATTTATTTTCATAAATTGTGGCATACATTGTGAAGATTTCTAAAACTAGGATAAAAAGAATAAATTTTAAAGGAGTAGTACCCAATGCTGAAAGGGAGAAATGACATAGCCCTCTACTGTATGTACTCTTTTTTTTATTTATTTATTTTTAGAGAGGGAAGGGAGGGAGATAGAGAGAGAAACATCAATGTGCAGTTGCTGGGGGTCATGGCCTGCAACCCAGGCATTTACCCTGACTGGGAATCGAACCTGTGACACTTTGGTTCACAGCCCATGCTCAGTCCACTGAGCTACACCAGCCAGGTTACTGTATGTACTCTTAATAAAAATGCAGACCAATTTCTACCTTTCTAGAAAGCAATTGCAGCCACAGGTATTAAGATCCTTAAAAGAACTGATATCCTTTAACCTGTCAGCTTAGCTGAAATAAGGTCAGAGCTGCAAATAAAGCTGTGTACATTAAGATAACACAAGGGTCTATGAATATCATAGCACATATAATGTGAAAAAATCAGAAATAACCTTAATGGCCAACAATAGGGAAATAATAACATAGGGTATGATCACAAGATGAAATGTGATATGATTGGAGGAAAAAAGATTGGAAGAAAAGACATAAAAATGCTTTACCATTATCTCTGAGGGGAGGTTTTTGGTGATTTTTATTGTCTTCATTATACTTTGTATATTTTTCAAGAATAAGTATCTTTTCTTTTTTAATACCAACTGGATATCATAATGTTATTCACTCTACAGTTTTGGCTTTCTGCCTTACAAGCATATTGTAGGATTGAACATCCAAGCTCCTTTATTGCTGACCAAAGTCATACACTTAGTTCTGGTTGAGTTATGAATGGAAAGGACATTTCTGGACCAAGAATTTCATTGCCAGTTCAAAACCCTTGAAAGTTTGTTCCCTGCAGCCTGGTGTCACGACCAAGATGGTGCTACAGTAAGCCTGGCCCCTGAGTGTCTACCATGAGCGTTTTTTGTTGCCTATCGTGGACATGCAGCCTGAGCAAGGAGTAAACTTTGGTTGTTTGGCATCTCAGAAACTTAGAGATAATTTGTCACATTAGCATCACATGGTCTATCTGTAGCATCCAGCAAACTTGAGAACAAATATCAGAGACTTTCAGGGTATCAAAGATGTTACTTTATTGGCCAAGATTAACCTGCGCAGGGGCGAACTCTTAAAGTGTCCAGCGACACAGTGCCCACAAGGAGCTGCAAACGAGAGCTGCGCCGAGCGCTTACAACTACATTCTTATATATGGGCAGGCAAGCAAGCGTTATACAGAAGCAGACATGGCAGTTAGTAATTCTCTTACAAAGACCACGCGCGGGAATTTCAAACCAAGCATTCTTTCATAAGGCAGGAAGGCAGGATGTTTGTTCATTAACCTAGTAATCTCCTGGCTCTAGCTAGCTAGTTTTCTATTTTCTCATTAAAAACTGCAAAGCACTGCTTATCTAGCCTACCCAGGGGAGAGCGTCTGCTAGACACAGGATGTTTGCTTTAACTGTACTTTGTCTCTTTTATCATTTCTTTTTAGCTACAATGTGGTTCTTGTCTATTAAGGTTAAATTTAGTTCTTAATTTCCTTGTTCCCAACACTA